AGTGTCATATTACTAGTTAAGTTCCTTTTCCTAAGGAAGAGTAACAGTGCAAGAACATGACCACCTAAACCTCCGCATTTAGCAGCACATCACTCAGAAGTATTCAGCCGGTTAGATTTCTCCTGCCACACTGTCATCCACAAAACTGACAGCGAATGCTTTTTATGTAAAATTTTGTATTCCTTGGATAAATAGAAAGCCAAATGAAACCTCTCAGTTTTTGCTTTATTTTAAATTTCTGATGCTATATACTTCAGGGAATTTTGTTAAATTTTTTTTCCTGGCTTTTAGCTTTGTTTGGACCATAAGAACTCAAAAGAGAATTTGAAGAAGGACTGTAGAACTAAAAAGAGAGTTTGAAGAAGGCAGAAGATGGTGACTTGAGAGTGACTTAAAATAAGCATAGAGTTCTGAAGACTGAGCTGTATCCAAGCTCTTCTGCAGGTTATTGTGTGATGGAAATTAGTATACAGTTAGCAACCTACTTTGAACCTGAGTCCTCTTATTGGAGAAATAAGATAGAATCCATAGATTCTTTTGGGTTATAATATTCTGATTCTTATGTGATAGGATGGGAAAGGTAGCTTGTAGCTGTCAAATAGATCATCCTTCTTGTTATTCACAGCAGAAAGAAGTCTAGCAAGATACACATTTTCCTTCTATCTGCTCACTTCTCCCTTAGCTAATAATCCTAAGGGACATTGTTGCTCACAGTGTCTTTGGTAGTGATTTCTTCTGTGAGACTCTTATGATATTCGTCATGTCTCCCTTTTTTAGAATTGCTGTGTCTCATATATAAGGAGTGCTGGTGGTGCTGGAGGGTAATTATTAGGATACTAAACTATAGTCTCATGGTTGGCAGTTCGAAACTACCAGCTGTTCCACGGGAGAAAGATGAGGCTTTCTGCTCCCATAAAGGTTTACAAACCCGGAAACCCTGTACAGGGTTGCTATGAGTTGGAATTGACTCCACGGCACATAACAGCAATAACAAACTACAAGGTTGGAGTCCTGGTGTGGTGCGTGGGTTAATGTGCTCGACTTCAATGTCTGTTTGAACCACAAGGTTGGTAGTTCAAGCTCACCAGCCACTCCACGGAAACCCTATAAAGGGTCACTCACTATGGGTTAGAACTGACTCAGTGGCACTTAAACAACAACAGACTACAAGTTGACTGTTCAAACCCACCAGCCTCTCCACAAGAGAAAAATGAGATTACCTTTTCCTGTAAAGATTTATAGTCTCAAAAAACCTCACAGTGAGTCAGAATTGACTGGATGGCATTTGGTATGTATTTGATCGCATATTAGAAGATTAATGGTGTTTTTCATGTCACCTGTTGGAGGAGTGGATTTCTGTGTGCTTTCATACCCTAAAACACTGAACTCTTAACAGCATTGAAATCTGTTGATGGTATTTTTTATTATCCATGATAAAAAATTCTAGGAACCAGACAACTAAAATGCTCATATCAGTTCCTCAATCAGACAGACGTGAGGTAAGGACAAGTTACTTAAGCTCCCTGAGCTGAAGAGTGGGATAGTCATTCTTGACCCTGGTTTGTTTTGCGGAACCAATGAGATAAGGTATACGACAGTGCTTTGTATTTTAGAGGGTACAATCCAAACAGAAAATACTTCACATATCAAACTTGCAGGTATTTCAGAACACCTGACTATACTCTTACTTTATCTATATGGTATTTCTTGGAATGGCACTGTAGGATAAGCATGGGCTGCTAATCACAAGGTCAGTGGTTCAAACCTACCAGCTGCTTCTCAGCAGAGCTGTTCAGGGTCTCTGTAAGTCGGAACTGACTTGACAGCACTTAACAACAACAATATAAGTAAACAATAGTTTATAAGGTTTATTTTCTTCTGATTATCACAGTTACTAAACTCTTAATTTTACATTCAAAAGCTAGTTTCTGAGCCCCTTCTGACTGCCATTATGGCCTTGTCTTTTCCTCCTTTTCAACGATCTTTTGATTTCTTCTTTTATGTCTTTGATGTCATCCCACAACTCATATGCCTTCAAGCATTAGTCTTAAATGTGTCAAATTCATTATTGAGATGGTCTCTACATTCAGGTGGGATACACATGTTGTGGTTAAGTGCCATTGAGTGGGTTCTGTCCCTTTATAGGGGGTTTCCAAGGAGGGACTATTGAGCTTGAACCACTGACCTTGCAGTTCAAACCAACCTGGCAGTCCAGTGCATTAATCACAGTGCCATACCAGGACTCTGGGATACACATATGACTGGGGAAAAGCTGCCTTCTTAAGGCAGTTGACTTTAATGATGTGGATTGAACAAAGCTTTTGGGACCATTTTTACTGATGTATTGTTATTAAGTACTATTGAATTAGTTCTGACTCATATTGACGCTGTATAAAGTTTTCAAGGAGCAGTTGGAGGTTTTAAACCACCAGCGTTGTGATTAGCTGCCCAGTGCTGATCCTACAGTGCCAAACCAGGACTTTACTGATGTGGCCTCACTTAAAATGAGAAGCAGCCATTGCAAACATCCATTAATAATCTGAACCTAAATAGTATGAAATATGAATCTGGAAAAATTGAAAGTTACCAAAAATTAAGTGAAATACTTGAAGATCAATATTTTAGGCATTAGTGAGTGGAAATGGACTGATATTAGCCATGTTAGATTGGAGAATCATATGGTATATTATGCTGGGATTGACAAATTAAAACGAAATAATATCACATTCATCATCAAAAATAACATTTCAAGATCTATCCTAAAGTACAATATTGTCAGTGATAGGCTAATAACTTTTTATGTTTATAAGGAAGACTAGTTAATATGACTACTATTCAAATTTATGTACCCATCACTAATGCCTAAGATGAAGAAATTAAAGACTTTTTACCAACTTCTGCAGTCTGAAATTGATCAAACATGCAGCCAAGAGGCATTGATTGGAATGCACATGTTGGAAACAAAGAGGAAGGATTGGTAATTGGAAAATATGACCTTGGTGATAGAAACTGTGCAGCGTTTCTAGTTCACATGATAGAAATTTTGCAAGACTAACAGCCTATTCATTGGTAAAACCCTTTTCAACAACATAACAGTAGCTATACATGTGGCCCTCACCAGATGGAAAATAAGAATGAAAAAGACTACATGTGTGAAAAGAGAATGAAGAAGTTCCATATCATCAGACAGAACAAAGCTGACCTTGCAGTTCAAGCTGAAATTGCGGTCCAGTGCATTATCCTGCACCAGGACTAGAACGGTTTGCAAATACTATCATTCAGTGCCTGTATCTGCAGGGGAAATAGGTTTCTTTTGTTTGTTAGAACTGTATATTAAGTGATAGGTTTTGTAAGTAGAAGCACCTATGGTGCTTCCTTTTTTCGTTTTAAAATGGGACTTATATAGAGCACACCTTATAATAATAATATGAAAAGAGACTACCTGAAATAATGATATTATCAGAATAGTTTTCTATTCCATTGATACAGTACACGTTAATTTTCTGAATCACAAAACTGTCAACAAAAAATGCCCAGAACCAGATGGCTACAGTGGAGAACTTTAGCAAACATTCAGAGAAGAATTGACACAAATTCTATTCAAGCGCTAAAAAAAAAATATCTGGTTACCAGGGAGCTATGGAGAGGAGATGGAAGCACACATTAGATTGTAGAGAATTGTTGTTTTAGTAATGGGCAAAGTGGTATTAAATGTGGATGTAGTCAGCAGTGCATGACCAAAGTAAATGATGTCACTGAGACACAGTCAAGAGAAACAAATGTCTATACTAATGAATCTGACATAAATGAAATGGCAACAACTCCAATAAAAGACTGAAAATGAATGTATGACTACATGTGGATGGGTATAGACATTTAGCTGTATGGGTAGGTACAAGTGTATATGTATGCAGGAACAGATAGAAGTATTCTATATACATGTAAATACAGATGTGTTGTTATTGTTCAGTGCCATCAAGTGAGTTCTGACTCATAACAATACTTTACAGGGTTTCTAAGGAGCACCTGGTGAGTTTAAACTGCTGACCTCGGGATCCAAATCAACCTTGCGGCCCAGTGCTTTATCCCACAGTGCCACACCAAGACTCCACAGATATGTGTATGCAGGCACATATACAGGGTTTCTGAAACTAAATCTTTGCAGGAGTAGAAAGCCTCATCTTTGTCCTGTAGAGCAGCTGGTGGACTTGAACTGCTGACGTTGTGCTTAGCAGTCCAGTACTTATCCTACAGAACCCCTGTGCTTCCATGCTTACTCCATTAACACAACTAAATTAAGTGCTCATTGTTTTGACAATCTAACCTTATTTAATGTGTTTATTTCCTTAAATTTGCTGTTGAGATTAATTGTTTGGTGTTCTTTCTAGAGGTTCAAAGAGGAAGCTGAATGTTCAGAAATTCTGTTTTAAGTGGAAAAAAACTAAAAAAGACCAACATGGCACATCAATCTTTACAGCTAATTAAATTTTGCTTTAGAAACAAATTAACTCAAGTAGTGTTTATGCTGATGGCCACCTTATGTTGCCTACATTTGACCTTGCAAACTGATTTCTATAGGTTTTTGTCCTTGACTTTTGAGATCTCTGAACCTGAACCTGGATATCCGAGTGGCCTCCCCTTATATTTTTGTTCATCAGACACTCAAGCATGCAAATACAAATCCTTGCTCTCTGTACTTACATTGTAGGAAGGTTTTATGCTCTTTTACCTTTGGATGTTATAGTTTGTTGCTGCCTTGGTTATCTTTAGAATTAGTGTTGATTTCCTCCTGTTGGCATTGTACACTGTGTCCCAAATCTCACTGCTTCCTTTGTTACCTGTGACATATCACAGGCTTCCATGGTGGTCACCTGTCTCTTGCCTGGTGTTACTGATAATCTTGAGATTTATTACTGGTGTGTTACTAGGATCTAGGGTCTCATTGTCAATCCTCTCCAAAGGTTTCTCTCACTAATTATCTTGCCGTATCCTTTTCTTAGACTTCAGTGAAGCAGTTCCAGAGACAGAGCGCCTGGATTCAAAGGCACTGAAAACTCGGGCCCAGCTCTCTGTGAAGAACAAACGCCAAAGGCCTTCCAGGACAAGACTGTATGACAGTGTCAGTTCCACAGATGGAGAGGACAGTCTAGAGCGAAAGGTGAGCGCCCTTGACCATTTTCTGACTTTCAGTGCTGTGCTGCATCATTATCACTACAACTTATTGATGACAATGATTTTTCTGTCTCCAGGTTCTATGCCCTAGGTGGAAATAACTGCAATAGTTCCCATCTATCTCCTGAATTATTACTCAACTTGATAGATTGTTGTAGTTTAAATGGTTTTCTCTACTCATTTGATGAACTAACCAAGAGCATTATCCAATTTGTCATATTTTATGATGGTGCTTTTAATACTCAGCTGTTGGTTTAACTAATGGGAAATAGTGAATATATAAGAAATTATTTCTCTATGTCTTAGATATCTTTGTTAACTACAATGGTACTATGGTAAATTGTTGTGAGCTATGCATTCTCATCTGTAAACCAACAAATAAAATTTGGTTTTCAGGGATCTTCACTGACAAAAGGTTGGTACTATTTCAAACTGAGTATTACATGGAACTAATACTCAGTAGCATGACTTCCTTTATAATCTCTTATGCCAACAACCTTCAAACAGTTTCTATAACCACATGCATATTACCCAATCGCTTCTACCCAAGGGTTTGAGAACTTCTCCAGAATCAGATTCTGGTGCTCTGCCCCTCAATCCAGTGGCTACATCTGACTACATACCTGAATTTGAAGAAAGACAACTGCACCCAGAAAAGGGGCCTTTCTCTTCTATTTGGGGAGATACTTCACTCTCCTGTCCTTCAAAATCTGATCACAATGTGGAGGAATCTACTTGTTACCATGAAGCCACCACCAAGAAAACATTACAAGGAAAAGGTATTGTTGATTGTTTTGGTGTTTTACTTTTGCTTTAACTAACTTCACAAACACCTTGGTTTGTACAATATACAAATGAACTTAGTCATACGTCCTTTGTCTTCTTACAACTAATAATTAGCATTGCTTTCCTTTTCTATTGTGGAATAAGAGTACCCCCACCCATTTTTCTTTATTGAAACTTTTCATATTTGGTTAGTGTTTTTATCACTTCAGGTCTTCACAAATTACTCTTGAAAGGAATTATTGGGCGGTGTGGGATAAGCACAGGTCAATTTGAACCATGAGACTGACAGTTCAAACCCACCAGCCTCTCCTCAGAAACACTATACAGGGTCGCTGTGAATCAGAACAGACTCAACAGCATTTAACAATAACAAAAGATTTCGTAGACTAGCAACACAGAGTTTTAATAGACACTAACACTGTCATTATAGAAGAAAAACAAAAACAGCCGGAAAATCAAAGTAATGTAGGCCTTGATCTATTAACTATTTTTCACTTCATGATAAAAGTTATACATGTAGATTAATTGATTAAATTTAAAAATAGATTCAGTCAATACTAAGGAGCATTGATAATGTAGTGGTTACAAGTTGGATTGTTTACCTTGCTAATCTCAAGGTCAGCAGTTTGAAACTACCAGCAGTTCTGTGGGAGAAAGATGAGGCTTTCTGCTCCCGTAAAGATTTACAGCCTCAGAAACCCTGTACCATGGTCACTATGAGTCAGAGCTGACTGCTCGGCACACCACCACCACCACCACCATAATTAATACTAGAAATTTTGTGGAAGTATCATTAGACCTTTATTCATTGACTTAAATACTTTTTAATTTTTAGAAGTTATAAATTCTTGATGACGTCAAACAGGAGTAGATTCTCCTCCTAGCACATCAGATCTGTTCCTTTAATATAGCCAGTAGATTTCATTATATTAACTTTCACATATACGTTGCACATAAAGACACACACATACACATGTATATATATATTACATATTAAATACATACAAAAATAAAAATACTTTGTGTTGTGTATGTTTTACTTACATGTATCTGTATGAAGTATTGGTGTGGTGCTGTAAGATAAGCCCTGAACCTCAAGGTTGGTTTAAACTGCAGGATCAATGGTTCAAACTCACCAGCTGCTCCTGGGAAACCCTATACAAGGTCATCATGAGTCAGAACTGACTTGACAGAACTTAACAACAACACAACATATATATGTGTATGTCTATGTATGTGTGTGTGTGTGTGTGTATACGTATACATATACATATATACATATACACACATGTTGTTGTAGTGGAGCAGCTGGTGTATTTGAACCACTGAACTTGTGGTTTAAAGTTCAGTGCTGATTCTACAGTGTCACACCAGAAATCTCAGTATATATGTTGTTGGTGTTAACTGACTTGATGGTACTTAACAACAACAGTCAGAACCGACTGCATGTCACACCACCCAGAGCAACCCTGTGTAGGGTTTCTGGTGTCTGGTGAGCTTGAACCTCTGACCTTGTAGTTCAAACCAACTTTGCAGTCCAGTGCATTAACCCACAGCACCACACCAGGACTCTCTCTCTCTCTCTCTTTCTCTCTCTCTCTCTCTATATATATACATACATACATACATATATAAGGTGCTCTGGTAGCATAGTAGTTATGAGTTGGGCTGCCAACCTCAAGGTCAGCAGTTCGAAACTACCAGTGGTTCCACGGGAGAAAGATGAGGCATTCTGCTCCCATAAAGATTTACAGCCTCAGAAACCCTGTGCAGGAGGGTCACTATGAGTCGGAACCGACTCCACGGTACTTAACAACAACAACAATATACATATATACATTTGTTGTTGTTAAGTGCCGTCGAGTCGATTCCAACCCATAGCAACCCTGTATAGGGTTTCCAAGGAGCAGCTGGTGAGCTTGAACCACCAACCTTGCAGTTCAAATGGCTTTGCAGTCTGTCTCATTAGCCCACAGCGCCACACTAGGACTCCTATATATATGTATGTATAAATATATATTTAAACAGAACTCCTATTAATCATATTATTTTTCAACTTTATTCACACATAATAATATTTTATGAACATTTTTCCAGAGCAGTATATATAGATTTAAATAACAAGTGAGCCAGTCATATAACTTAGGCAACCATTACATTATTGATGAATACTTAGGCTATGTACAGCTTGTTTGTTCACTTGTTTTTGTTGTTAAGTGCTGTCGAGTTGGTTACAACTCATAGTGACCCATATAGGGTTTCCAAGAGTGACTGGTGGGCTTGAAACGCCAACCTTGCAGTTCAAACTGAACTTGCAGTCCAGTGCATTAACCCACAGCACTACATCTGTACTTACAACTATGGAAAATAATCTGCTTCACCTTATATTCTTATATGGTGCTGTTAAGTGCCATCTAGTTGGTTTAAACTCATAGTGACACAGTATAGGGTTTCCAAGAAGCAACTGGTGGGTTTCAACTTCCAAGAAGCAGGCCAGTGCTTATCCTACAGTGCCATACCAGGACTCCATATTCTTATATATAGCACTTTTATTTTTTAGAAATATATTCTTATATGTAATATCTTTATTTCTGTTGACTAGATCTCCAAAATAGTCCTGATGTGGGGCTGTGGGATAAAGCACTGGACTACAAGGTCAGTTTGAACCACAAGGTCAGGGGTTCAAACTCACCAGTCACTCCTTGGAAAGCCTGTACATGGTCGTTATGAGTTAGAACTGGCTCAGTGGCACTGAACAGCAACAACAATAAAAAAGATCTCCAAAAGATTAATTAGTTGGAGTATATTATACTCATAGGGAATTTATAACTTTTAATATTTTTATTACTAAAAGTAAAATACTTAGGCATAAATAAGTATTCAAAATCATAGTAAAAGAGTAATAACCAAAAATATCCAGAAAATAGCATTGAAATTATAATAAAGATACAAACTGAGATTTATAAATTTTTATTGAAACTAAAAATCTGCTCTTTGCCCTCCCACAGTACTCCCAAAATAAAAAAAGTACAGTAAAAGTGTGTCAACTTTTCCAGGTAAAAAGTAGTCCCTTGGGAAGCTGGGTTAAGAAAAAAAAATAGATGGGAAATAAGAAAGGAGATACAGAGATTTAACTAATCATTTAAAAAAGACAGTATGCACACACTATGACTATAGATCTGAAGAACCTAGAGGAACTGGAAGATTTTCTACCAAAATGTAAAATAAAATATAAGCAGTGTCTGGAATATGAATAGGTTCCATTCCTAAATCTGTCTTTAAGTCGAATTTGTAAGTAAACCTGAATAGTTAGGTATGGTTCTTATCTAACATCAGTTTATTTTAGTGTTGAGTATACATTTTTATTCATAAAACATACTCAAGAAATACTTGCAAATTTATTTAGACACTTATTCTTACATATTTAAAAAGAAAAAGTCAAGTGCTTTATTATTATATTAACAGGTATTAAAAGCATTTGGTATAATTCTTTAGACACTTTCAGCAAAAACTTGTTAAGTAAAAATAGGATTAAAGGGAAATTTTGTTAACATTATAGATTATTTTCCAGAGACGGACCCAAAACATAATATTAAATGGTGTATAGTAAAGCCAATTTCATAAACATCAAAATAAGATATAAATGTTTGCTATCATCATCATTTTGAACTCAGTTTTTGAGAATTTTCTAATTGCAGAAAAATAATCACTAGAAATTCTGGAACAGAAGACATGGGAGTATCTTTATTTGAAGATTATATGGTTGTTTATCTAGAAAGTAAATGACCAGATATAAAAGAAATCTATAAAATCAACAAGTTGATGTATATGGGTAGCGCACGTCAGTTGTTGATGCTGTTGTTACGTGCCATCGAGTTGTTAAATACCTGTAGCGACCTTATGCACAGCAGAATGAAACACTGACCGATCCTGGGCCATCCTCACTACTGTTGCCACGCTTGAGTCCATCGATGATGCCACTTGGCCAGTACATCTCTTTGGGGGTATTCCGCTTTTTCTCTGACCCTCCACCTTACCAAACATGATATCCTTCTTCAGTGACTGGTCCATCCTGACAATATGTCCAAAGTATGAGAGACGAAGTTT